TTTGCTTCTCAACTCTCGGTTTTAGATTGATAGATTTTGTATTTGAAAGTACTAAATTCAGATATGACTGTCATACTTCAAACGGTGCATTGTATTTTCTACTCTCCAATTTTTTCTTCCAAAAAATGGTGTTTCACAACCTTGCATTTGATAATGACATCAATGAATACAAAGGTGAAGATATTCATTTTGCAATAGATTTCAATTGCTACAAATGGAAATCCAAACAAATTTTTAGATAATTTACATGAGAACGATAACATGAGTTTAATGAAAATTTATTTTTCCACTTTTAGAAACGTTTCAAATTTGAATTTTTTATTTCATAAGTGGAAAAATTTTTCAGCATTCATTATAAAACATTTCACTTTTCAGATTTGAATTTTAAAATTTGAACTTGATGTGTGGGAAAATAGGTCATCGTTTATTACAAATATAAAATTACACTACTTTCTGCATTAGAAATTGAGTCTATTGATTTTGCTACGTTCAAGAAAAACTATAATAAAATGAAACCACTTTAAAATATTTCCTGTTTAATAAGTTTCTAAATTCGAAATTTAATTCAAATTTTTAATTCTATCACTTCTTAATGCATTGAAATTGGTTAAGTCTATTAATGATATTTATTATTATACCTAAAAAAAATTTATACATAGGTAATTGTTAACCCTATTAATATCCCACTATTGAGCTTAATTAGTAAAACAAATAAAATTAATTTGTGTATAAAATTATATATTAAATAAAAACTATTTAAAATTATAAAAACATATGCATAGTTGATAAAAACAAATTTAAATTTAAATTTAAATAAAAAAATGAGAAATGACATATTTATACTTTAAGAAGAAATAAATTAAAAATTTAAGTTAAAAAAAGAATAAAAAAAAGGTATGCGTACAAGGATTTTTATTTAAAAATATCAACATAAACATTTTAAATATATAGGTATAATCAATATAAAAAATTATAAAATAAAAAATTAAAAGATTAAAAAATTAATTTTTCAAAAAATATGTATCATTAATAACCATTTTGTTATTAATTTGATAATATTTTAAATTAAAATTGTTATTAATTTGATAATATTTTAAATTAAAATTGTTATTAATTTATTTTCGTGAAAATAGTGCAGCTTTTTATTATGGTTCAGATTTTAAATTAAATCATGTTTCTTATATAATTAAATTTAACTCGCAAAAACTATAATGTTTTTAATTAAAAATTTAATATGAAATTATTATTATTGTTTTTGTTTAAAAAATCTTTTTTTTACAAGTCTGTTTGAAATTAGAAACGTTGGAAACTGACATTTAAAATTTAAAATTTAACTCCATAATTCAATATGAAGGTAGATGGTTGCCTTCTTCGTATGTCTAACTTTTTGTATTGTAAAATTGTTTTTTACAAAATTATTTATATTGTAAAAAAAATTTGAAATTTAGAAATAAATTAAATGGAAAATTATGTGAATAATTTTTGGTGGCACACAACTCATCAATGTCCCACTGCATTTTATATTGAAATTTCCAAATTAATAATAACTCAACTCTTCTAAATTTTGAATTTATGTTTAAATTTGAAATTTGAATTTGAATTTTTAACTTTGTAATGGTGGAAAAACTTTTGGAAATTTTTTTGTGGCAGACAACTGATTTAATGTCCCATTACTTTTTTTGTTGTATATTATGAGTAAAAAATACCTCTACTTTTCTTTTGTTGTATGTCCCACTATTTTTTCCAGTAATTGTTAGACCCTATTAATGTTGCATAAAAAAAACATTAAAAAAATATTGTAAAATAATAAAATTATTTATATTGTAAAATAAATTCAAAATTTTAAAATAAATTAAATGAAAAATTATGTGAACAATTTATGATGGCAGACAACTCATTCAATGTCCCACTGCATTCTACATTGGAATTTTAAAATTAATAATAACTCAAACCTTCTAAATTTTGAATTTATGTTTAAATTTGAATTTTTAACTTTGTAATGGTGGGAAAACTTTTGAAAAAAAATTTGTGGCAGATTATTTCCAAAAAAAAAAAAAAATTTGTGGCAGACAACTCATTTAATGTCCCACTACTTTTCTTTTGTTGTATATTATGAGTAAAAAAGATCTCTACTTTCTTTTGTTGTATATCCTACTATTTTTTGCATGGATAATTGTTAGCCCTATTAATGCTGCATAAAAAAAAACAAAATCATTAAAAAAATATTGTAAAATAACAAAATTATTTATATTGTAAAATAAATTCAAAATTTGAAAATAAATTAAATGGAAAATTATGTGAACTTGATATTTGTGAAAAGAGTTCAGCATTTAATATTTATGCACTTGGAAAAGATACATATATAATAATTTTGAATTTAATATAAAACTATAAATTAAACAATAAAATATTTAAAATTATAAAAAATATATTTATAGTAGATTAAAATTATTTAAAATATCAAATTTAAATGAAAAAAATAAGAAATGGCATAATTTATACTTTACAAAAAATAAATAGAAATTTTAATTTATACATGTGTAACCAATTAAAAAAATATGCATGTATTTTTTTAAAAAAATATTTAACATAAACATTTTAAATATACATGCATAACCAATTAAAAACATATATAAAATTCTTAAATTAAAATAGAAAAAAATTATATATAAAAATATGTATAATTAATATAAAAAAATTTAAAATTTAAAATTAAATAAAAAATGACGTCGGTCATTCTGTAAATTTTTTTATTAAAATTTAAGAACTATTAAAATGAAAATTTTAATTTAGTACATAAGAAAGAAATTAAACTTTCATTTTTTTTATTGCAAGAGTGTAATTAATACAAATACTTGCAAAATGTAATTATTTATATAAAATACTGACATTTAGAGGTGAAAAACTGGGTTCGGCCCGGAGGGCCTGCCCACCAATAGATTTTTATAATTCAATTGAAAATTTATACTTCTTCTTTTATAATTAAATTACTAAATCTGTTTACCAAAAAAAAAAGGGAAAAGTTCACCAATACCCTTGTGGTTTGCTTCAAAATCACCTATGCCCATGTGGTTTTTTTTCTATCACATGTGCCCCTATGATTTGCAAAAGGGTATGTTTTTTATCACATATGCCCCTGTGGTTTTTTATTTTTTACAAAGCACAGGGGCATATATGATAAAAAAAACCACAGGGGCATAGGTGATTCTGAAGCAAACCACAGGGGCATTGATGAACTTTTCCCAAAAAAAAAATACTAAATCTGATTTCGATTTTTGTAAATACAAATCTGTGAAATTCCAAAGACTAACGACACTAATCCTTGCAAAAAAACATTATTTATATAAAATGCAGACAGTTAGAGGTGAAAAACTGGGCTCGGCCCGCCATTATATTTTTATAATTCAATTGAAATTTTATTATTCTTCTTTTATAATTAAATTACTAAATCTGATTTTAATTTTTGTAAATATAAATTTATGAAATTCCAAAGACTAACGACACTAATCCTTGCAAAAAAAATAATTGTTTATTATTATTTTATAAATGTGATTGTAGTAAAAGAAAGTTCATATCTGAGTTAAAATATAAAAACCTAGACGCAATTATAAAAACCTTTTACATGCTGATAGTTAGAGGTGGCAAACTGGACTCGGCCCGGAGGGCCGACCCACCAACACATTTTTATAATTAAATTAAAATTTCATCCTATTTCTTTTATAATTATATTCCTAAATCTGATTTTAATTTTTGTAAATACAAATTTGTAAAATTCCAAGACACAAATCCTTGCAAATAATAAATATTTATTATTATTTTTTAAATGTGATTGCAATAAATGAAAGTTTATCTCAAAGATTAGTATAGTTGCTTTGATTCTGTTTATATGCATTTGTTGCAATGTAAGCAAAAAATATGAATCATACATGCTTATTTGATTAAGTTGCATTCAAATCCCGTTCAGACAACATTTTTTTTTGTCTTTAAAAAAATTTAATACAATCTTTTTTTTTTGCTAATACTATGACTTTTGGGTGTTAACATATTAGTGTTACTTATTTAATGAGTTTTTGCCTTCTGTATCGTAGGCACAAGGAACGAAAATCACACAGGAAATGACATGTTTAGTAATTGTTGAACTCATCCCTCCAATGATTGCTACGAAATGACACTGAATGAATAGCGTTTTCATATTATAGGTAAAAGTTGATCTTTTAAATCCATATTTGCTTGGTGTTATTGTTACCTTGATTTTGTTGATGAATGTTATAGTCAGCAATGATTTGTATGCATTTTTTTTTTTATATCCCTTCCTTATGTTAACATGGTGTATTATAACGTAATTATGATGTAATTGTATGCAAAATTAATTATCCATCTGAATAGCATATTTTTGTTTGTGGTTGATATTTATAAAGTTCTGTGTCAATGCTGTAACTTTTTCCACCTGAAATATAGAACAAAATAGCAACACAATTTTTTGTAAGTATAAGATTTACAGTGCGATTAACCAACCACGGCGAACGACAAAATTTTTGATCTTTTTACCCTGTGCATCGCACGGGTAATATACTAGTTAGATTGCTAAACTAGTGTACATCAAACAATCATACGATATAAGCTTATCACTCATGTATTGTATTATTGTATCTTATCCTTATGTAACTCTTTTATCCTATTTTATCCACCAAACGGGCCGTGATAAATTGATTCCTAAGTAATACATTAGTATGTTTATTTAGTTTGAGTAATAGGAATTATATATTTATCAAGTTCTATCAACTTTATCTCTCTGCAAGTCGTGTATGTTATTTCTTTAAAAGGAAAATATTTCTGCTTTTATTATATACAATATTTATATGTCACATTCACATTATGAGTGAGTCTCGTTATGAAAAAAAAATAAAAAATGAATGGAGTTCAACTCTCTTAGCCTATAAATGTTCAAGATAATGCAATTTTGTTTTTCGATGATTTAATACACATCTCATCTAATATAGTTAGCACTTGGTCCTAGAAAGAGGCACCAAGTCCTTCACCGAGAGGCCCTTATTAGAGAATTTTGTTCTGAGAGGGCTTAGATTGAGAAAAGGTGCAGGAATGATGTTATTGGCATCAGCTCTACTAGCTGTGGTTGGTAGAATCCCTTCTTCCCAAGCCTACTTTCCACTGTAAATTCCAACAAGGCATTACCTCCATCAAAATAAATGTTTTTCCCTTTTTAGATTCAACCCCTCTAAGGGCCATAGTATTAGTATTATTAGGATGGGATACTAGAAAACATGATTTCTCCACCATGGCTTTAATGTCATGAATCACATTGAATCCTCTAGCTGAATTATTACTATCTGCCGCCGTTTTCTCTCCAATGAAACTGGTCGTATCATCCAACATTATTGATGCATCACAGCCCTGATTGTTGCGTTAAGTGAAGCTAAATTAAGTGAAGCAGAGTATTTAAGTAAAGTCAAATTAATGTATATATTCACGTTTACAAAGCAGTCATAGAAATGCAATCGAAGCAAGGAATCTCCTATGCGAGTTTCATTTTTAATGGCTCTGATGACCCCTTTATTCACTATTGGTAATAGTTCAGGGCAGCTGGTCGAGTAGAAGTCTGCAGATAACCTCTTCTTGGCATATGCTTCAGAAAGTGTAGTAGCAGCAACAAGAACAAACAAGAGGAAGTAGTAAGAAGCCATTTAAGTTTTCATGCAGTACACAAAAACCAAGTATTTGGTTCTTTCTCTTATAATAACATATTCGATAGGACTGGTTAATTAATTGAATCTATCCCATTTGATCTCAATAGCCCGAACCAATTCTTTATCACTATCAGCATTATGGAAACAATATCTTTTATAGTTATACAAATAAGAGTAAAATGGACAAGTTAGCACAATTATTAACATGGGTTAAAGGGAGACTTGGAGGGGGGGAAATCACAGGGATAATTGACATGAAAAAAATCACAGGAGTATTAGTGATAAAGAATAAACCTGAGGGGGTTTATGAGTTTTTTCCTAAAAATTATAAGCCTTACTGATAGGTGGACGTTGCACATGATCAGACTAGAATATATAGGACCCACTTGATTTAATGCAGAGATAACAGAAGTATCTCTATTTTTCCTCGTTATCTCCTCTTTCTAAAAGACATCACTGCTTCTCATCATTTCTTGTATGTTGTTGATGAAATATCATCATTTAAGCACGAAAACAGTCCCTTCGTTTACCTTATCTTAACAAGTTAGGCAATCAAAGCTCAACATTTTTTCTTGAATATCAAACGACAAAAGCTAAGATCAAATATCAACCATGCGAAACCAAAATTGACTATACATATTATTCTAAGTTGGTTTCTGCGTTACTTTTGTGCAGCTACTAGGCTTGATGCATAGGAAATTTCGCTAGAATAGCACTAAACAGTTCAAAAACTTAGTCATTGGTAAGTCACGCATTAGAAAGCCACATATTTATGTTCTTTCAAACATGCATTAACAATGTGATGACAATCAAACTAGTACCAACCAGTGGTAGAACATGAATGCAGAATTTACGGATCATACTAGACAACAGATAACTTGATTTCTGATGAAGTTGCAACTATAGCAGGTACTTAGAATATAACCTAAAAAGATGAATTCAATGAGAATGATTTGAAGCTCATCAACGATGATGAGCTACAGAAAGTGCTAAATAAGAACTGAAACCAAGGCTATGATAATAGCAATGATTCATCTGTCAGAAAAAGTCATTTTAGCACTAGTAGAAGTTGCCATGTTATCATAACAACAGTAGGTGGAAAGCCAATAGAAGGTACAGAATCATCCGAAACAACTATACACTGGCAAAGAAAGAACACAGGACCCTACTTGTGGAGCTGTTTTCAGAGAAGCAAATTAGATTAGGAGAATTTTAGTGCAAAATGTGAAAAGAAAGACAAAAGAACTGAGAGGGAAGCAGATAAATCTGCCATGAAGCTGATAAAAGAAAAGATGGAAAAGAGAATATTCAAGGAGTTCTACCTCAACAAGTGGTGGACCTATATATTTTGCTTCAGCAGAGACAAAATAAGGTGTAAATACAGACTCAATAGTTAGGTGACCATAATTTTCTATTTACTCTTGTTTATCCTAACTAGAATAAATATATTACACATTAGCATAATCTTTAGTAAGAGTACTGATTGTCAATGTGTTGCACTAAAATTGTATTAAAAGATTTGGATAGAAGTAAGTAACCAGCATTCTTCAAATTGACTTTATAGGTTTGCATTTTAATGTTTTTGTATCCAGAAGATCTCTAGAAGGATAGAAGAACATAACCAAGCATTTTAGTGGGATTTGAATATACTAATATAATTACCAGAAATAGAATATATAGAAAAGTGAAAGGCAACAGGCCAACATTATGGAGAATAAAGCCATATATATTCAAGTGATTTCACTAAAAAAAAAAAGAAAAAAAAAACTCATGTAATGGTAATAACCATCTATCAATTTCTGCCTTAATTTGGCTTCGCTAATAATCATCTATCAATTTCTGCCTTTTCCGCTTCCGCCTTAATTCTCCTTCGTCTGATGAGACCCACACTGCACATCAGTAGTATAAAGAACAACAGTAAATAATAATAAAAAATCTGAATCCACCAAATGAATACAAAACTACAATAAAGAAAGCATTAGTAAAGTACAGCAACCATCGGGACAGCTTTCTTTGTCAAGCATAAACAAGCTGTATGTGAAGTCAGAAGCACATAAAACCATGGATGTACTTTTGACCCCAAGTTCTCTCATCTCTTGGCTCTTGAGATCATACGAATGCAATGACATTATTTCTCCATAAACACTGCAACGTGGAACCACTAAAACTTCAGAGTTCATGCTTTGTCCCGATAGCTGTCTAACATTTCCCTCAAACAAAGAAACACTGTAAATTTTGCTCCATGACTTCTCTCTCTTCATCCATATATCAGTAGCATCAGTAGCAGGGTACTGTATAAGCGAGAGGCAACCATCCATAATATGAGTTCCACAATAATGTTTGGGAGATTGGGAGTTGGAGGTGTCTCCGTGTCAGAGGGTTAAAGAGGATGAATTTCATTTTCCCGTAGGAATAAGTGAGGAGCGCCTACAAACCGGCTTTTTGACCACTATAGTCTTTTTTTTAATAATTAATTACTAAATTGACCCTATTTATAAACTATTTCAAAAATTTAACCTCTCCAGAAAACATAACACCAATCTACCCCTGTTTGACCGTTGACCATGAAGCCTACCCGGGTACACCCCTACCTACCCGGGTAAATTTTAAAAAATTTTACCTACCCGGGTACACCCCTCCCTACCCGGGTATATTTCTTGAATCTGGAAAATGTTTGAATTATTTACCCGGGTAGCGAGGGGTGTACCCGGGTAAATAATCATAACTCAAGCTTTTCTCTTCTTGCTTTTCTTCTTTGTTTCTGGTTTCTTTTTCAAACCTTGCAGAGTCATTTTAAGAATGGCCAATTTCTGAGCATCTGAGACAACCCTCTCCAACATCTTCCTCTTGCCATCTTCAGTTGTCTCTTTTACAGTTTTCCACAACTCAAGCTTGTCAACGCCCAATTCCTTCACCTCTAATTCTGAACATTTTTTTGAATTGTCTGACTGGTGACATGTAATAGCATCCTTTGTTGGAGCAGAACCTTGATTATTTGCTTCACTAATCTCAGGCATATGATCCAGTGGGATATCTTTCATCAATAACCTGTTTTCAGATTTTGTTCTCCATGCGTTAGTCCTTCAATTTAGAGATTTTCATTTGCTGTTCACACAAAGAGGATGGGCGCACACAACCAGTTTATGATTATTTACCCGGGTACACCCCTCCCTACCCGGGTAAATAATTCAAACATTTTCCAGATTCAAGAAATATACCCGGGTAGGGAGGGGTGTACCCGGGTAGGTAAAAAATTTTAAAATTTACCCGGGTAGGTATGGGTGTACCCGGGTAGGCTTCATGGTCAACGGTCAAACAGGGGCAGATTGGTGTTATGTTTTCTGGAGAGGTTAAATTTTTGAAATAGTTTATAAACAGAGTCAATTTGGTAATTAATTATTAAAAAAAAGCTATAGTAGTCAAAAACCCCCTACAAACCTCCTGTATTCATAGGTAGGAGTTGGAGAAAACGAGGATTCAATCATATTTATGGGGGAGCATAATCAAACGGTGGAGGATTTCGTCCACTATATCTACCGGAACACAATATCCAAACATTGTGAAGCCGGGAGGGATTGGTTACTATTAATTACTTATATCTTTTTAGTCTCAAAAAAAAATATGAATGAAAAAAAAATAAAAGAGTAAAAAAATAGGATTATAATAATTAATTATTATCCATTAGATTTGATCATAATCAAACGGTGATTAAATTAGTTGTAAAGTTGTTAAACTTCTTTAATAGTAAGTATATAAGAACAAAAAATATTTCTCCACAAAAAAAACAGTATTTACTATTTTGTTTACATATGCTTTTAGGATATAGAAAAAGGAATAAAACATAAAAAGTACTAGTGAAAAATATAAATATTTAATATATAAGAACAAAAAGTAATATTTAATTTTTTAAATAATTAAGGTGATTTAATGAAAATTAATATATATTATTTATTAATACGTGCACAAGAAAGATACACATAAAAAAAACTTTATTTTAAAGGGAAAAATGTTTATCCTTTTAAATGACACAACTTATATCTTTTTACTCTCACAAAGAGGTGGGACCCACACCTTTATTTTTTTTGTCAACTCTCTCGCCTCCTTAATCTATCTCTTTTTCTTTCTTAAAATAACACAAGTTTACAAACACTTTATTAACACATATATCTTGTTGAGAATTAGTTTCAATCTCAATTGCTTTACATAAATTAGCAATCAATTTAGTCTTGTTAATTTATACAAAATTAATTATAAAATCTTGAAAGTCATTGCATAATTGTTTATTAAAATTAAATATCAACATCTACGAGAATTAATTTAAAAAAAACAAAAAAACAAAAGAAAAACATGATTTCACATTCACAGTGAAATCCGGAAACAGTTACACTATGCTGACTAGTAATAGCATAGTTGTAGCACTGTCATTCTCATTCGTAGGCGCACGGTGTTCCCCTTCGTGGATCAGTGACGTGTACGGTCTAGATTCAATATCCACTCACACTTAGATTCTCCTTCGTATCGTATCCCTATAAAAGCCCCTCTCTCATCATCGTTTTCATCTTCATTCGCAACTCTCGCGCATGTTATTTTCTTAAATTCTCATTATTATTAATTAATTATTATTATAAATATTATAAAATCTTATTATCACTATTTTTTTTTCTTCTCTGTTGCTTCGATTCGAAAACTCGATTGCTTCACGCTTAGTGTCTCGTCGGATCTGAAGAAAAGCGCCTCCGGTTCCCGATCTCGCGAAACAGATCCGACGCCGTTTCGAAACCTTGGATTCAGGTTGTGACATTGCTGTCCTGTCAAGTCCTAAATCTCACGAGATCTCGGAGAATCGAAATTGGAACCCTAATTTTAATCATCTCGCCCTAAAATTTTCCCCCAATTGTTACAAGATCGTGATTCTTTGGTTGTGTGTGTGTGTTCATATATGGTTTTTGGGCCGTTTTTGGATTGTGCGAAGTTGAAAAATTTGGGAGAGATGGGGAAGGAGGTTGAGGATGTGGAAGAGGGTGAGATTTCGGATACTGCTTCGGTGGAAGAGATTAGTGAAGAGGATTTCAATAAGCAAGATGTTGTTAAGGTGAATAATAACAACAACAACAACAACAACAAGCCCAAAGGGGGTGGTGGTGATGCTAGGGTTTGGGCTGTTCATGATCTTTACTCAAAGTACCCTACTATATGCCGTGGTTATGCCTCGGGTTTGTATAATCTTGCTTGGGCACAAGCCGTGCAGAACAAGCCTCTGAATGATATTTTTGTGATGGACGTGGATTCTGATGCCAGTGCTAATAGTAACAACTCTAATAGATCGTCTTCTTGTTCTGTGAATGCTGTTAAGGAGATGGTTGTGGTGGATGTTGATGACAAAGAGGAAGGGGAGTTGGAGGAGGGTGAGATTGATGCTGATGCTGAGCCCCAAGCAGAAGCAGGGAGTGTTGTTGTGGGTGGTGGCGGCGGCGGTGTTTCTGAAACTGTTTCAAATTCTGAGCAGCTAGGTGTTAGGGAAGTTTTGGAGGGTGTTACCGTTGCTAATGTGGAGGAGTAAGTGCAAACTGATGATGGGTTTTGTTCTTTTTAATCTGAATTGCTGACATTGGAGTTACATTACAACATTGAGTTGATTTTTTGTTTTTGGTGATTTGATTGTTGTTGTAGATCGTTTGCGGAAACTTGTTATAAGCTGCAGAATGCATTGCAGAGCTTGCCTGAAGTGCTCTCGGGACTTGCTGTTTCCGAAAAGGATGATCTTGTTCGCTTGTCATCCAATGCAATTGAAATAGTTAATTCTGTAAGACACATAGGATCCTTGCTCGTTGCAGGTGCTCTTGATATCTTTTCGGTTTCTGCTGGGAATTTTATAACAATTGTGTTTTTATTGATTGTAGGTGTTCTGCTCCCTGGACCATTTACAAAAAGAACAGAACAAGGAAAAAATCTTAAGGTTTTCTTAGTATAAAGTTTTTAGCTTGTAGTTGTGAATTCTTTCAAATTGCAATACCATCTCACTAACTTATGTTTCGTTGGCTGCAATTTTCATGTCAGATTACTTTCTTCTGTGAAGGATAAAATCGCTCATTTATTTTCAACAGAGCATATGAAAGAGGTGATATTTATGTAACTCATTTTGGGAATTCATTTCCCCTCCCTCCTTAAAATCCTCAATTTAGAAAATTAAAGATGGGATAGAACTTAAAATATGGTTGTTTGTTCATACAGATTCAGGTCATGATTACTGCAATTGATTCTATTGGTGCTATAGGCAATAGTGAGTCTATTGGCGAGGAGAATGAACTGCAGTCCCATGAAATAAAGACTCAGGAAATTCCATCTGTAAAAGCTATTGAATTGATTTCTTCTAGTCAGCTTTTGCATAGTGACTCAATTGGGGCATCAGAAGCTTTGATATCTGGACAAAGTAATATTAAAGGTAGAGGGGTTCTGCTCCCTCTGTTAGACCTTCATAAGGATCATGATGCAGACAGTTTACCATCACCCACACGAGAAGCACCATCCTGCTTCCCTGTGAATAAATCATCCTCTGTTGGAGAGGGGATGGTTAGATCTGGGTTGCCAGCTGGTAAGATGGAGGCTGGGAAGATGGAACTGGATAGTGAAGATTCCAAGTTTCATCTCTATGAAACTGATGCTTTAAAAGCTGTTTCCTCGTATCAACTGAAGTTTGGTCGAAGTTCTTTTTTGACTAATGATAAACTTCCTAGTCCAACTCCTTCAGGTGATTGTGAGAATGGGGTCGTTGATGCAAATGAGGAGGTTTCTAGTGCTTCTATTCCTAGTTCTTTAACAAGCACTATGCCACCCCCCTTTTTGGATCTGCCACCTGTTTCTTCTGCCTCCGTGGATAGGTCTAGCGTGCATGGATTGATTAATTCTAGAATTGATGCACCTGGTTCTGGGTCTTATCCGATGAAAAGTTTAGCAAAGAGTAGAGATCCTAGGCTTCGTATCAATAATTCTGATGCAAATGCTTTGGATCTTAACCAACCTTCAGTGATACATAATATGCCTAAAGTGGAATACGCTGGAACGGTAGTCTCAAGAAAGCAAAAGGCTGTTGAAGAGCCTTCTTTGGATTTTACTATATCAAAAAGACTAAAAAATTCATTCGAAAATCCTGAGCGTAATATGAGAGAGGTAAGAACTGCAGCTGGAAATGGTGGTTGGTTGGAAGAGACTGCAGTGTCTGGATCTCAGTTGATAGAAAGGAATCATTTAATGGAGAATGTGGAAGCTGAACCCAAAAAGACTTTGAGTATAGTAAGTAGTTCGCGTACTGATTCTGGTAATTTCAATGTGACCAGTAATGGAAATGAGCAGGCACCAGTTACAAGCAGTAGCACCACAGCTTCCTTACCTGCTTTATTGAGAGATATAGCTGTAAATCCAACTGTGTTGCTAAACATACTTATAGAGCAACAGCAGAGATTGGCAGCAGAAGCCAAAATGAAATCTGCTGATTCTGCTACGAGTACACCGCATCGATCAAGCTCAAATTCGGCAATGGGAACAGACCCAAATGTGAGTATTGGTCCATCAATGACCACTGGTCTTTTGCAAAGTTCTGTTGGAATGCTTCCAGTCTCATCACAAGCAACATCCACGGTAAAATGTTTTCATGAAATTATTTGTCTGAAGTATACACCACTGATGTCATTCTTGATATTCGCCAGTGGCTGTGATGTCATCTTCCAATTATATGAGAATTAACCTGAAACTTTTAACATCTTGATCCCTGATTATGAATGAATTTAGACTAAAAAATGGTTGCAAAATTTGAAAGTCAGATAATTTCTTGTCATGGAAATCCCTTTAAGCTAAATGTAGCTAACAATTTTGCATGTGGTTGACTCTCAGGTACAAAGCCTACAAGATGATTCAGGAAAGATTCGCATGAAACCCCGTGATCCACGGCGCATTCTCCACACTAATAGTACTCTCCAGAAGAATGGGAGCTTGGGGAGTGAGCAATTCAAATCCATTGGATCCCCCGCATCAAACAATCAGGGAACTGGGGACAATGTCAATGCCCAGAAGCTTGAGGTTAGGGCTGACACAAAATTGGTGCCTACTCAATCAATTGCACCCCCTGATATTGCTCGACAGTTCACCAGGAATCTGAAAAACATTGCTGATATTATTTCCGTTTCACAAGAATCATCAAATCACAATCCTGCTGCTCAAATTTTTTCTTCTGCATCTGTTCCCCTTACATTAGATAGAGCGGAACAGAAATCTGCTGTGTCTAACTCTCAGAACCTGCAGGCTGGCATAGGATCAGCTCCTGAAACATGTGCATCAGATTCCTCTCGATCCCAGAATACATGGGAAGATGTTGAGCATCTTTTTGAAGGTTATGATGAGCAGCAGAAGGCTGCTATACAGAGAGAGAGGGCTAGGAGGATGGAAGAACAGAATAAAATGTTTGCTGCTAGGAAATTGTGCCTTGTATTGGACCTAGATCACACACTTCTTAATTCTGCTAAGGTAATTTGCATGGAATGGGTTCTCCTGTGGAATAAAGTTTGTATTACTGTATATTAACCTTTCCTCTTTCAGTTTGTGGAAGTAGATCCAGTTCACGATGAAATATTGAGAAAGAAAGAAGAACAGGACCGGGAGAAGCCTCACAGACATCTTTTTCGCTTTCCTCATATGGGAATGTGGACTAAACTCAGACCGGGAATCTGGAACTTCTTGGAGAAGGTAATATGAATTCTATAAAATATGCTTTTTAGGCATGACATTTTACTAGGGCTTGATTTTGAATATAAGAATTCACATCTTTCGCAAATGCTTTATAGGCTAGTAAGCTTTATGAGCTGCATCTTTACACCATGGGAAACAAGCTATATGCAACAGAAATGGCAAAGGTGCTTGATCCAAATGGAGCATTATTTTCTGGTAGAGTTATTTCTAGAGGTGATGATACCGATTCGGGAGATGGTGATGAGAGAGCTCCCAAAAGCAAAGATTTGGAAGGCGTTCTGGGTATGGAATCAGCTGTTGTAATTATAGATGATTCTGTGAGAGTCTGGCCTCATAACAAACTGAACCTGATAGTGGTAGAAAGGTCGGTGTAACATGGTTTCAAACTTCCATGCAATTCTTTTCTGCTTTTATAAATTGAGTGGATGTGTCATCCCTGTATTAAGTTTTATGATATTGCAGGTATACATACTTCCCCTGTAGTAGACGCCAATTTGGACTTCCTGGTCCTTCTCTTCTTGAGATTGATCACGATGAGAGACCTGAAGCTGGAACTTTGGCATCCTCTTTGGCGGTGAGGTTATAGCCAATTTTTTCTTTAATTTTGGATGGTTTGTTATTTTACAGTTGATAATTCCTTCACTTCCTCAAGTAGGTGATTGAGAGATTACACCAAAACTTTTTTGCTTCTCAATCCTTAGAAGAAGTGGATGTCAGAAATATCCTAGCATCAGAGCAGAGAAAAATCTTGGGCGGTTGTCGAATAGTATTTAGTAGGGTGTTTCCTGTTGGCGAAGTCAATCCTCACCTTCACCCATTGTGGCAGACAGCTGAACAATTTGGTGCTGTTTGCACAAACCAGATTGATGAACAGGTTACTCATGTTGTTGCAAATTCCCTTGGGACTGATAAGGTATATTTTGATTTTGTAAACTTTCAGCGCTTTGTGGACGTGTGTGTGTGTGTGCCCTTGCTTTATTTTGATTAGTTGTTGTATCAAGCATATAAATAAATTCTAAACGCCTGGAGTGCTGCAGTAAGTCATGATTTTAGAGTAGCACTTGGGGCTAACCCAATGCTTGAAGAAGTTGAGTCAATTGAAATACACATTGGAAGTGTTTTTATCCATCGTTTAGGCTTCAGAAAAGTGGAAACCGAGGTGATCCGTCTAACTGGGCTCACCTCCTTTTCTAATTTACTCATAAGGTGGCAACTTAGTTAATTAGTCCATGGCATATTTGCAAAATCAACTAATAAAAGACCATTTTACTCCTATAAATTAGAGGGAGCCCTTCCTTTTCGATGCTTTTCTGCAACCTCCCCTACTTCTTTACTTGCTTCCACCGGGACCAAACATGGTGTAAAATCTTCATTCTATGGTAGTTGGGGCGGGCTGTGTTGTTGTATATTAATTATATAGTCTTATAAGTCCGTGCTACTTCCTTTTTCTTGAGCAGGTGAATTGGGCTCTTTCCACCGGTAGATTTGTTGTCCATCCTGGCTGGTGAGTACTCTCATAATTTATATTTATGCTTGTCCCTGTTCCGGTCTTTTTTATCTGAATTTGACCTGTGCTGCTTCTTTCCTCCTCCCTCATAAAAAAACAGGGTTGAAGCATCAGCATTGCTTTATAGGAGGGCGAATGAGCAAGATTTTGCCATTAAACCATAAAAACAACCGACCTAATTCTCGTTGGTTAACTAAAATATGTGAAACATAAATCAAGAATCACATTGATTTTGGGGGTGTGAAATCATTAGATCATAACTGGTCAGGGGAAGACAGTTTTAATTCATGATGCCTACCTATTGGATATGGTGATTGGTGAGTTTGTGTAATTTTACAAAGATAATTGGCCAGTTACTGAGGAGTTAATGGGGGGCTATATGAATGTCCCTGTGATTCTTGGGATTTTGCTTCCGGGTTCGGTGCTGAAGGGCCTGAAAGAATGAGCTGACTGCTTTAGGGACTAGGTGAGTGATATTGTGGCGGTGGCTTTTGTGAATAGCTCACAGTAAATATTTTCTGAGATGGTGTCAAGCGAAGTACATTTCTGTTGTTGACAAAGAAAAGTTAAAAGGCCTCAGCATATAGGGAGTTAAAATGTGGAGGATTTCAGACTCAGGAGATATTGACTGAACCTAATATAGGGGAAAAAGTTTCCTTGATTAGAATGAAGTCTAAGGAAATGGGGGCGCTATAACAGCGGAGTCAGGATTTTTTTGGAAGTGGATTCATTGACCAACAAAATGAATTTCTGATAACTGAATTTGTATATTAATGTGTCACTGTATAAAGCATTTGAGGGAGCTGCAATTAATCACCGTTGGCCTCCCTACCCAAAACTAATAAAAGTTTGGCAGGGAGGGGGGGGAGGATAGAAAATGTTGGGAAGCGTGTCTAAGTCTAACCATGCATTATTATCAGGTCTTTTATCCTTCTGATTGCATCTACCTTCAGTTTATGTGGATTGCGTGGCTTTACAACAAACCAATTGGAAAATATCGAAAATTTATTAAAAAAAAAAAAGGGTCATCTCATACATGATGTCATTTTTTTTATGAGAATACTATTGAAGCCAAGATAGTTAAAAAAAACTGGGGGAAAAAACGCATATGCTCTACTATATACCGAAGAATAATATTATGAGAATCCTGTGCAGTACTGAAAGAGGACCACACAAATTATACCGTCGTGCAGTGCAAGTCATGTTGTCATGTCTGTTAAATTTTGGCAAATATTAATGATCCTTCGTTTTCTGTCCAGTTCTGTCATTTTGTTCCAATGAACGAAGTGTCCTACAAACCTCATTTCAATGGTAAAAAATAGTCACACTTGAGTGGATGCGACGAAAGTGGTATTTTTTTTCCCTTTTACTAGAAACGAATGGTGTATTTTGCATTATAGACCTGTTTAAATTACATTTTTCTCTTTCTTTATAACGATGCCGGCCTACAAAAGTACTATACTATTATTATATTTTGAATTATCAATTTTAAAAAGGAACATACAAGTTATACTCTAGGTTGCTTAATAGGTGCTACACTACAAAATTTTCATTTGAAAATGTATAACAATTGAACCATTTACTTCTTGAAAACTTCTAGCTTTATTTCGTCCAGAAATTTTTGTAGGTCCAAAAAAAGGCGACTGTTGAATGAATTTTAAATTATTTTGAAAAATTGGAAATATAGAAGTATGAAACTACGTTATCAGAAGGTTAAAAAAACAGGGGGCAGGGATAGGAATGGATCTTGTTCTGTTTCTAAAAAAATCGTTGTCGATGTTTGACTTAGGAGTATAAATTGGTTTGGGCTAGATTGAAGGGATAGATTAATCCAAATATAACTCACAAATGGTGTATTGGATTAGCTAATCTTACTTGTGGCAGCGCCAATATGAAGAAAGATTTATATAAATACTTTTTGTATGTACATGACCCTTTCACCTGTCAATTTTAAATTTATGTCTTCTCAAAATTGACATAACTCGCTAACATATAACTTTTTTTTTATACATAATATTGATACAACTTATTTATTATGTGAATTGACATGATATAACATAAATAATTTGTATTTTAAATGTTGTTTTTCCCCATTAATAATAATAATCAAATAATGAATGACATGTGATGCCACTAATGACCTGCGGTTAAAAATGTAATTAATCACAAAAGGTGGGTTAATGTTATATTTGCGGGTTTACAAGCAACTATATAGGCATTTTCAGGATGTAATCTTAAAGGGTTAAAATGGAACAACATTATTTTAGTCGTCTATTACCATAAGGTAGTATTTGGTTGGGAAGAAGTGAAAATTATTCTAGCCAAGTGCAGGTGGGAACGTGAAACTCCATGTTTGGTAGAAGCATTTTGGTTGTCTTTGACGTCATTATGCTTTGTCTAGCATTTGAGAAAAACAAGTAAAAACCGGATAAAAACACTGTTTGAAAGCCCTCTGAGACCGTGGTATTGTTGTGGAAAGCGGATAACTCGAAAAAGCACTTCATATTGAAGACAACTTTACCCCTCTTCTTTACCTGTATCGGAGACATATCCCTCTGCATATAGTCAAGAGGGGTCCAAGAGATAAGCTTGGCACAAGTGTTAGACCCCAAAATACAGCTTCTGATAGTGTTCCAATAACGAGGATCCTTTTATTCTCTTCCTCAACCATGGTGAGTAATGCTGAAGATGATACTCCTTATAAACTCTACCAGGCACTTCTACACCACCACCCTTGTTAGTTACAGCAAAACCAAATATAGCGAAACCCAGCAGTGCTGCTATGAGGAACTATTCTGCTCTTCCTTTTACTGTTTTCTGTCATTCTTCATTCAAGGACTATTTGAGAGCTCAGTCTATGACAAAAAACTCCTACCTTGTAAAATACAGAGCTATGTTCTTCTTCCTGAGATTCTTCTGTTGACAAAAGACTCATCTTTAGATGCCTGCGACACCAGATACTTGCCTAATTGATGAGAATGAGTTATAAGAAAAGACATATCTTCCCAGAAAAGTTAAGAAATGCAACAAAGTGTTAAAGTATACATGGATGAAGAGAAGAAGAAAAGGAAACAAAAAAAAAAAAATTCCCAAAATTTTACATGCTTTTGTAATTGTCACTTATTTCTCCATCTATATTTTACCTCAAACCAAACACAGACTTTATAAATCTTACCTAATTTGTCCGGTAAAATTTTTTCCAATCAAACAACTTTTTTTACATTTTCGTACCAAATTCACTTTCCAACTATTTCCCTATCAAATACATTTCTCTTGTATTCAAAAAAATTATCCTCAACCAAACACTACCTAAATGCATTGTGCAGTCACTGCAGTGCCTTAAAAACACGCAAAAGAAGATCCTAGGAACAGATGAGAGATGGTCACCTTACTTTTTATATCAAAGCATATTGAACAAGGGATTAATATTTCTTATGTTGGAGATAATTTTATCTCTTAAATATATATAAAATTGTGTGGGACTCACATGTAATCACGTGAAGAGAAGCGAAAAAAATAAAAAATATTGAACCGAGATACTAATCCCATTGAATAATTTGAATAAGGGAAAAGTGTCTATACATTTAAATTACACAACTTACATCCTTTCACTCTCACAAAGAGGTGGGACCCACAATTTTATTTTTTTTGTCAACTCTCTCTCCTCCTTTATCTATCTCTTTCTCTCTCTTAAAATGACACAACTTTACATCCTTCAAAATTATACACACTTTTCCCTTTGAATAATGTGGGAAATGGATTCACAAAAGCAAACGGTGATGTGAGTGACTAATATGTATGTGAAAAAAACCTTTGAAAAAAAAAAACAAGTGAAAAAATAAATAAATGAAACCAGGCAATGAATGAAATATCGAGGCATGTTGAAATACAAGTTCCTTTGAAAATGGAGAATAGAAAAGAACAATGTGGCAAGTTAGCCCTAATAGTGTCCCTCCATCCTTGTTGTCATGTTAGAACCTCCCACTTGAGAATGGAGTCTCCAGTGAGAAATATACTCCAAGCAAGAACAAAGAACTAGAAAGCAGAGAAGCTTAAATGGAGCAGAACCTGATCTTGAACATGTAACGGTTAAGGCTTTTGAAGTGATGAAGGGCAACTTATATCAGCAAGTACTTCAAGCTGAGTTGATAATTAAGGAGTAATTATCAATGTTTAAGTAGTTGTTAGTATCATAACCTGTTAATTATCCATTTAGTGTTGAGAAGACAAACAGCAAGCTGATGTGTCAAAACATTATCCGTTTATTCTTAGATTATTTGTTGGTGTTGTGTAGCATAGCAGGATTCATGAGAGGTTCAATGGACACGAATTACAGGTCTTGTGCTAACCTATGACAATAGGCAAAAGGATGATGGAAACATATTTAGGAGAGTGTGCATGAAGTACTTGAATGAATGAATATTAATATATAGTGGCCAATGTCCATGCCCTTCTTGATGTTTCAACTGAAAAGCCTTGGTTTCGTTTGGTAGAGTAGAAAGATACGCACCCGATTCTAAAGGTGATTTTGACCTCATTCTCTTATCCAACTCAATCACTTCTTTTTTGTTGCTCACATGGCCCTACACAGCCTGTGCTGTAATAATGTTATTTCAACAATAATGAATATATATATATATATATATATATATACAAATTGTAAATGAAGTTGTGTTTTAGTTTTCATTTGATTATTCCTTCTGAGGACATGATTATTAACCGAGGATAACCATAATCATTTCAGAAGCAAGGGTAGTCATGAAAGGCCAAGAGAATTTCTCCAACGTGGATGCATGTATATGGTTCAACTTTTGTGCTCCACCATAATTATTGCACTGAAATGATGATGGTGGATAATTATGGTTCAAATATTCAACTCATATTTGCTCCAATGTGCTCTAAAACCTTGGTCTGTGAAAAAGTTTTTTTTCTAGAAGTTAGTTTAAATGGGCCAACAAGAAAGGAAAAAAGACCAGCCAGGCATTGAGGTTAAGAACTTTCTGAAGGGAAATAAGGTAAAAATGCAAAGAGGTAGCTTCTCTAGCACAGATGGCTGGCTAAAAAGAAAGAAAGAGAGATACTCACACAAAGACATGCTTGTCTTGGCAAGCAAGCAGAAAGAAGCTTTTACCAACATGGTCAAGTGGTAATCATAACCATTGTGACCTCCATACTACATCATCACCTGCCTCAGAGAAAGAAAGAAAGAAGGTGCAATTTCCAATCTCCTTTTTTTTTTCTATCCCTTTTATCTTTTTAAGTTTTTTGAGTATTATGTCTGTACCTTTTACTTTTCCTAGTTCCTGAGTTAAATTTTCAGAACTTCTGTTCTCATTTCCTCCGCATGCGTGCTGCAGTGTTTTACTATTTACCTTGTTGGATATATTAATTATATAGTCAAGAGTATATTTGTATACAAGCCCAATAAGTAAAAACATGTTTATTTGGATTCGTATGGACCGGAGTTCAATAGTTTATAACATTGTTGAACGAAGAATGATTTGTTTACAAATTTTATTTACAAATTACACTAAGTATGACCGGTCACACGCTTTAGATTGAAGTATGACCGGTCATACTTAGTGTAGTTTGTAAAAGTTTATAAATATAACCTTCTTCTTCTTGTTGAACATTCCAAACTTCATGTTTCTTAAAATAATATTTCAAATACCTCAAAACTCTTCTATCTCAAACTCATTACCTCCGACACTAAATTGGTTTTCATTTACGTGTGAGAAATAAAGGAAGAACAAGTTTGGAAAGTTAACATTATATACTATATTACATACATGTAGCTGAAAATATAGTGGGTTGACTATCCAAGTAAAATGAACGAGACTCAAAGAAATAAAAAACACTATAACAACCTTAGTCTTAGAAAGTAAAATAAATAAATAAATATATAGGAGGTAAGTGGGAACATCGAAGATTCGAAGTTGTGACTTGCTGCCCCTACGATGCTAAAGCAGCTTTATTCTTAGTTCTCACATTTCCCAACTATTACCCAATTCTAAATTGTACTTATTGCTTCTTCCTTTAAATGTCTGTCCATAGAATGAGTTGTATAAGATATGGGTAATTGTTTTGTATGTTACATAATAGAAATATTATCACCTTCTCAAATAATAAATAAGAAAAAAAAATTAGAAGTGAGAGAAAAAAATTCTTGTAGGATCCAATTAAAAAATGTGAGTGTAAAAGATATTATTTCTCTTGTGAACATAAAAAAAGTATTACGCATAGTAAAAAATTGTATTTACAAATTTTTTATTTATAAATTACACTATGTATTAAAGATAGTATATTTCAACACACAATGTACGATTCCTAGTACATAATGTAGTGTAAGAGTTAGTAAAAAAAAAATTGTAAATAAAATCTTCCCCTAATATATATATATATATATATATATATATATATATATATATTTATGGGAGACAATCATATTCGGGGTGAGTCGAACGTCAAAGATTTAGTAAATATAATGGTTTACATTTTACCTTGATGGATAGCACAAAATCTTCATTCATTTCTAATTTCAAAGGAGAGTAACCTAATCAGAAAAGGTTTTTAGGGTGTCTATGTTCACTCTTTTGCTAATATAACACAATTCTCATTTTTCTTTCAAATTTGAAAGTGAGCTATATAACACACAATAAACTCTACTTATAATGTATACTGAATCACAAGCTCAAAATATGTAACAAGTGACGTACTACCACAGAATGGAGGAATTGAACAGTTTGCTTGTGTTTTTCACGTCTCAGAAGTCTTCCTTTTCTACTATTGATCAACAGACATTACAATAGTGGTTTTCTTTCTTTCTTTTTTTTTTAAGATTTCTTTATACATTCATTGATTAATTGACTAATCCGATCGAATCAAGCAGGAGGCGACACAATTTTCCTTACTAAATTTTTAATAATAACATATCCAGTACTTGAACTCAAGACCACTAGTTAAACTCTGACAATTCTGTACCAATTGATCGATTTGGTGGTGTCATTACAATAGTTATTGTCTCTTCATCCTTGCATCCTAAACTCCAATAGATATGATGCTTGACAGTTCTCGTTTGACAGTTCCCACTTGTGAACTTTGGGGTCTTGGTCTTCAAAACTTTATCTAATTATACCAATGCGCTTCAATGGTTAGCAACTATCTAGAAAATAAGAACGAGTTTCTAACAAGAATATTGAGTTATTTATAACAAGTACATAACCAAATAAATTATCCATAAGCCGGAATTGCCCAATTAAATAACAATTCAATGAAAGTAATTTAACACAAGTGGCTAGAAGTGAAATATTTCGTTCATATTAAACACTGAACTTTACACAGTTAAAATGCTTTATGTAATTCATTCCAACTTGTGTCTGACCGACATGACTCTGTAGTGTGTTTGATTTTCATTACGAAAGTTGACATGTTGGTTGATTATTGACAAACCCTCTTTCAATTATTACTTATGATAATTGAGGTTATTGCAAATTATTTTTTTATATTATTTTGCTAAAGCATAAATAAAATATATTACAACATATATTTTATCTTATCTTATTACTTAAAACAATAAAACATAAAAGAAATCATATAAAAGTAATGTAATAAAAATAGTGTGATACTGATACCAACCCCTGTTGCTGGAAGGACGAAGCAACAAGAAGGGTGGGGACAACAGAGAGTAAAGATTGGCTTTGGCTTTAATGGCAATGGCATGGAGGTCCCATGCATGAATGCATAATTCAATTGCAAAGCATGAAACAAACATGACTCATCACTCGATGAACAAATCTTTGGTGGATCGTATATATTCAACTGGATAGATCTTTTTTTCAGAAGGGGAAAATTTTCAATGTGGGGGATTTTTTTTTTTTTCATGAGTGGTAATTTTTTTTCCAAATATGGGAAAAAAAAATATACCCAATTAAATACATCTTATACTATATTTCCCACTTTATGGTCCTGTTTGTTTGACAGACACGTCAAACAAAAGCAAATTAATTTCAAACAGCGAATGCTATGACGTAAAATTTTATTCTCACACATTTATCATCCTTGACTTGCAGGGTTGAGTATAGAGTAAAATGCAGATATTTGCACCTACTTGTGTTCTTTCATTTCAATCTGACTCCTCATATATATTGTGTAAACAGTAAACACCCCCGAGATGCTTCTTTTCCCTCCAAATTGGATAACTCGGTGAAACTCGGCCGGTTTTGATGTAAAATCGATGACTCGGCTCGGGTTTTTTTCAAAAAAAAAATTCAATTTTTTTTTTCAAAATAAATAAATCATAATTGATATATTTGAGTGATCTATTTCTTATTGACTTACATAAGTTATATACTTACAATTTTAATATTAGCTCAGTTATACACTATACAAGAAATTTTGATTTGATAGTTAAAGATGTCGTTTACCGAACCTGAAACATCAATATAACAAGTATTATGTGTTTATTTGATCCTTTATTGGACAATAATTTATAATTTTTTATATTAAAATATTTATAATTTATATTATTTTTTGAAACTATTTGAGTATATTTATAATTTTTTAATATAAATGATAGATTTATATATAATCACCGAGTCATGCAATACTTTGATCGGCTGATTGACCGGACCGATTTTAATACTATTGATTTTATGTTTACGTCTTTCAATTTAAGAATTAGGAAAGACTAATAAATAAAGGGAAATATAAGAATCATATGGCAGGAATGACACTGTTTATTTCTGCAACAAGGATCTGCTTTCGTATCTTAAGGATAAGGCAAGGCGTCGTATCTTAATTTTGGTCTGACTTTTTTTTAAGCGTGGGACTCACACTTGATTTGTGTTTGCAGCATAGTGCCTCTAATCATGTCACATGACAAAAAGCGAACCCATAAATAAAACAACTCAAATGTCAAACACGTGCACTTACACACGGTGGCAGACGATCCAAATCACAATTTTTTCTCTCTTCACAACTCTCAATCAAGTTTCTAAAGAGACAAAAGTCCAAGTAAAAATATTTACAAAAGGTGAAAACTTGTTCCTTTTATATAGAAGAGAGCCACATCTCACGTTTACACTCACACATACACACTCTCTGTGAAAGACAAGTAGCTGCTAAGCTTTTTGGGTTTCTGCAACTAAAAGGAAAAGAAAAGAAAACAAAACGAAGCAATGTCTTCTCTGCTTTGGAGTTCCATTGCAATATGTGTACAAGTCCTACTCCTTCAGCTATGTTCCCTTGGTGTTGTTGTTTCACACCCTTCACCCTCTCACTCTCACAATGATAGGATTACTCGCTTACCAGGTCAACCCAATGTTGGGTTTCGTCAGTTCTCAGGTTATGTAACCGTTGATGACAAAAACCATAAAGCACTGTTTTTTTACTTTGCTGAAGCTGAGAGTGATGCAGTTTCCAAACCCCTTGTTCTTTGGCTCAATGGAGGTGGTCCTTAGTTCTTAGTTCTTGTTTCTTTCACACACATTCACACCCAAATAATGCACTCACACAAATAATTATTTGCAAGTTTTGAAGCTTAAAACTTTGTGTTATCTTCACTTTTGAAGGGCCTGGTTGTTCTTCTCTGGGAGTTGGTGCATTTTCAGAGAATGGACCATTTAGGCCCAAAGGAGAGGCCTTGATTAGGAACCAATACAGCTGGAACAGAGGTACTTTCATGAACCAACCCTTATATCTACACATAAGCACTATTTTTCATTAATGGGGTTGTTTCACTTTTAGCTTAGCTATTACATGCTCATCAACATTTTGCACATATGATTTGGCAGAGGCGAATGTGTTATACTTAGAAACGCCAATTGGAGTTGGATTCTCTTACTCAACTGATACTTCATCTTATGATGGTGTGAATGACAAGATTACAGGCAAGTTTTTAACGTTTATCCTTCTATTTGATTTCAATAACCGGTGTTTTTACCCTTAGAATAATTCTTACTGTTATTTGTTAGAATGAAAAAGCACCAATAGATGCAAGCATTTTGAAATGGACAAAGAAAGAATTTACTCAATGAAGATCCAGTCAACTTTCTTTCTTTCTTTCTTTCTTTCTTCTCTTCTCAGTTCTCACTGTCTCCCTTTTGCTTTCTTTGTCATCTTTACTTTTTACTAATTTCTGTCCTGACCCTTTTGTCCAAAGTTTTCCATAACATAATGGTATTGCACAATCTGCTGTTTTACTTTACAGTTATGCCATGTCCACTGCCTTATAGTGCTGTTTTTCTTTACAAAATTGACAGAAATGCTCCTTTAAAGATTGCCTTGGTTTTCTTAGACTGTTAGTCTTTCTGTTTATAGCCAGGGATAATCTGGTGTTCTTGCAAAACTGGTTTGTAAAGTTCCCACAGTACAGAAACAGAAGTTTGTTCATTGTAGGAGAAAGCTATGCTGGTAACTCTTCCATTTATTTACAGTATATATCTTCATGGAAATCGAAGCAATAATAGAAATATGCAGCCATTGATGTATTTTATAATTTATCATTAGGTCATTATGTTCCTCAACTGGCTGAGCTTATGCTCCAATTCAACAAAAAGGAGAAGTTGTTCAATTTAAAAGGCATTGCTGTGAGTTAAAGCAAAATCTTCCAATTATTCTTCTTTTCTTATTCCTGCCAGGGGTCATCTTTCTCTTTATCTTGATTCCATATCTTTTTCTTCTGGTTTCCGTAAATGTTCTGGATAATATTAGTAAAAAGAAGTTTCAGCTAAAACTTCCTCTAATTAGCAATTTGACTAAAGAATTTAGGCATCTGAAACTAGTTTCCTTTGATGCAGCTTGGTAACCCAGTTCTAGAATTTGCAACAGATTTCAATTCAAGAGCTGAGTTCTTCTGGTCTCATGGATTAATTTCAGATGTAACATACAAAATGTTCACTTCTGTTTGTAACTATTCAAGATATGTGAGTGAATACTATAGTGGTGTTGTTTCTCCTATCTGTTCAAGCGTAATGAGCCAAGTTAGTACAGAAACCAGTAGATTTGTTGACAAGTATGATGTGACCCTTGATGTTTGTATATCTTCCGTGTTTTCACAAACCAAACTCCTCAATCCCCAGGTGAGTTTTATCATATAGCTTGTCTTTAATTCCAATTTTCATCATTAACTTTCCTTGGTTTGATTTTCTATCTAACATGAATCTAAGAGCATGAAATGCTGGTCTTGTTTTTGTTGTCAAACAGCAAGTTACTGAAACGATAGATGTATGTGTGGAAGATGAAACAGCCAATTATCTGAACAGGAAAGATGTACAATCAGCTTTACATGCTCGTCTTGTTGGAGTACAAAGATGGTCCGCTTGCAGCAAGTAATTGTCTTCTGTAGCCTTCATTTATATGTTGTGTTGTGTATATAATAAACATGTTCATAAACTACTCAAGTTAAACATTAGTGTTCTTCATACAAATATGTATTTTTTGGTGATGCTATTTAGAGTCTTAGACAGAAACATCTACAGTTACTTTTGTTTTGGTGTCATCTCATACCTTGCTTTCCTCAACAGCGATCTCTTTTGTTAATATGAATCTTATGGTTTGCCCATCAGTGTCCTAAATTATGAGCTGCGTGACTTGGAGATACCAACAATCACGGTTGTGGGCGAGCTAGTCAAGGCGGGAATACCAGTATTGGTTTATAGGTACATGCTTTGTGTTGAAATGAAATTCAAGTGAGTTAGAAGTTCAACATTGGTTAGAAATAGATAAAATGATGATGACAATATAAGTTGAAAAATCCATAAACTCACAGCATTAAGGTTTTGTGTTAAGATATGGTGTCAAATTCATTTATCGTGACTCTTTTGCAAAGGTTTTTGAAAATTCTATTCTAGACCAAATGGAAATTTAGCTTGGCCTTTGGCATAAATTCGAGTATGTTAAGGTTGGTTTTCAAAATAAATTGATATTTTTTTTGTTTTGCAGTGGTGATCAGGATTCAGTTATCCCATTGACTGGAAGTAGAACATTAGTACATCAATTGGCAAAAGAACTAGGATTGAAGACCACTGTGCCATACAGGGTCTGGTTTGAGGGGAAGCAGGTGAACCTTTTTGAGTTTTGATGAAATTACTGACCCTATTGAATTTATGTTGTGCTTAAGAAATATTCCATGCTTATTTCAGGTTGGTGGGTGGACTCAAGTTTATGGGAACATCCTTTCATTTGCCACCATCAGGGGAGCATCACATGAAGCTCCATTTTCACAGCCTCAAAGATCACTTGTGCTGTTCAAGTCCTTCTTAGAAGGCCGAGCTCTACCTGAAGAATTTTGATATATATATTTAGTGTCTCTGTAAAAATGTGATTGGTTGTATTGTAGTTAAACCTTCAAGAGACTGAGTTGCATTTGTTTGATTGTTAATCAAATCTGCTCATTTTCGAGTGTAGAAATTTTTTTGAAGTGCTCAAGCAAGAAAGGAGGAAAAATGTGTTTTTTTTTTTTTTTTTTTTCCCTTTTTCATTTTCCTTGTAATAGTACCGTTTTGTTTACTTTTATTATTTTGAAGTCAGTTTATGTAGCTTTACAGTAACTGCTTGCTCTGAATCATGTTAATCAGTAATACAGTAGAATAAGCTTTTATTATGTGTTTATTTTTCCCAAATACAATCGGGAGAGTTAAAGCTATAGTTTTGCTAAAAAAACGGAGGAGAAAAAATGGAATTAATGTTGTTTATGTTGTAAGAGATATAATAATCACACACATAAAAGTGTCTAAGCTATAAGAGATAAAATTATTTTATATAATATGAGAAACATTAATCCCAAAAAATATAGAGAGGATCAAATTCATCTTTCAAGTATTATACTGTCAATATTAAAAAACATATATGATATGTTTTTAGTATGAGTTTAATGTGTACTTTTAAAGAATATAACTTTTAAGTTTTTTCACCTTTTATAATTATGTATTTTGGAGAATACATAATTATAATATGAAAGTTGCTTTTTTTTTTCTCTCTCCACACCAGTCCACAAGCTTCTAAAGAGAAAAAAAAATTAATATTATGACCATGTATTTTCCAGAGTATATAGTTATAAGGGAGTAAAATACTATACGTTTATATCATTTAAAAGGACAAATAATTTTCCCTTTTAGTATTCACAAAACTATACTGTTTAAAAAGCAAGAACTGACAATAGATTCTAAAGAACGAAGAAATTTTTCTCTCCTCGGCAATGTTATTAAAATTGAGATCTTAAATAAAATCGTAAAACGTAAAATTGTAATGTACGAAAATTGTAAAAATGTAAAAGCGTTTGGAATATTAGTAAAATCGTTTTGATGAAAAAAAAACGTAAAATCGTAGTGATAAATCGAGATTTTAACAACAATGCTCATCGGTCTCTCCTCTGTGTCCCACTAAGTGAAATATGCTCCGGAAACACTAAAATAATTAGAACATAAACATTAGGAAAGTAATTTTTATGGGTAAAGTGTGTGTCATTTTAAAGGATGTAAAGTTGTGTCATTTTAAGAAAGAGAAAGAGAAAGATAAAGGAGGAGAGAGAGTTGACAAAAAAAAATAAAGGTGTGGGTGCCATCTCTTTGTGAGAGTGAAAGAATATAAGTTGTGTCATTTAAAAGGATAAACATTTTTTCCAATTTTTATTAGTAGGAGAAAACATTTCTCCAATACGAGAAGTGTTATATATATATATATATATAGAGAGAGAGAGAGAGAGAGAGAGAGAGAAATTTTGACTCCATAGTAAAAATTTTAAAATCTTACTTCTCATCTTAACTGTTGATTTTCGTCCATCCAATAAATTCTATCTATTTTTTTTTGTCTACTTTACATACTCATCTTCAATTCAATTGGATCAAAATCTCACTATTTCTCTCTCTTTTTGAGATTATGATACAATGATATTGATCAGACCAAATCTTTACAACTGGGTCGATCATGTGATCTTCCTCTACACAGGCCTGGAACCGTCTTGAGTCAGAGCATCTTGCAGTTGGACCGCTTTATCCCATGGGTCTTCGATAAAACGCGATGGGGGGTGTACCTGCAAGACACTCCGACGCTCAAGTCAGATATGGTTCAAGCAGGTTTAATTATGTAGGAGAAGATGATATACCTTAGTGTTGATACATGTATTTATAGTAAAGTGATGTGTGCTTGGAAGATGTCTTTCTTCATGGTGAAGGCAAAGGTTCCTTGGTGCCAAAGTAGTATGACTGTCATGATTAAATGTTGAGGAACTTGTTGTCATGATGTCTTTAAGGTTGAGGAACTTGCTGGTTGTCATGAGCTTGCTGCTATAGAGGTGTCTTTGCTCTCATAAATATTGTGCAGCTTGGAGAGGTGGGCTGTGCAGCTTTCATTGACTATGAGCTTTTTTAGTAATAAAGCCTTTTAGTTTGGACCTTGTATTTTGGGCCTTGTCTTTGTGTAATATTTATCCAGATTAGATATTAAGATATACAATGATATATACAAATGAAGTTATGTCTTACATTATTACATACACGAAGTTGGAAAATTTTATTTTTGTAAATAACTATTTTATTTGTTCTCATGACTATTTAACATTAATAAATGAAGTTTCATATTAAATTTATGAAATTAAGAAGAAATTTGAGAATAACTATTTGTTATTATGCTGTCATTTGTTATCATTGAACGATTAAAATGAGTAATGTTTGTTTCGCAAGGATACATGAAGTTACCAAAAAACAATTGTGAATAAGAGTATTGTTTATTGTTGAGTGACTTTTTTTTATTAGATCCATAAAATCAAGAAATTTTTTGTGAATGACTATTTTTTTTGTTCTTGAGTAGTCATTGGTTTTTATTGAGTTGTTAAGAATAATGAATGAGGTTCTTTTCCTAAACATACATAAAATTATGATTATTGTTTACAAATGATTATCACTTATTTATGAGTAATTTTTTTTTTAACTGAATAATTATTGGTTTCAGTAGAGATATTTTTGTTCAATAAGTAAAATATAATGATCCTCTCCCTATATAGTTTTAGGGATTTTTTTGCAATAAATGCAGATAAGTTATTTACATTGAGCCTAAAATAATATTATTTTGGGATAAAAAATAATGTATTTTTATAATTATATTTTATTCCAAAGTTATAACAGTCTTTATCATTATAATTTTTTAATTTTTCAACTCAAAATGATATTATTTTGAAAATGATTTGTAGATAACTTATTTGCATTTATTGTAGAAATATTAAAACCATTGTTTTATGGGGTAAGCTATATTTATAAATTTTTACGAACTATATTATATATTACGGATAGTACATGCTCAAGTAATATATATTACGCATAATACATAATGTAGTTTGCAAATAAAAAATTTGTAAATATAATTTTTATATATAACTTGATAATTTAAAGATCTCATATTTGTTTTCTTAGTATTCATTGACATCAATTTATGTTACAAATTTCTCTACTCACCGTGACTAGTTTTCAACCATCGCAAGACGCAAATTCTGGTTCTAATGGAATTTTGGGATTCGTGCACAATTGCAATAAGTCATTGCTAGCTGGTAGTTAGACTCCGCTGCATTGCTTCATCAAAGGTCATAGTCTAAGTAACATTGATATCGATACGTGATACGATACGATATGATATTCTGACACATTAATTTTAAAAATTATAAGATTTTGACATGTTAGGACACGTTGTGATATTAAATAATATTTTTTATTTATGTAGTGTATATTATATTTAATATTCAATAATTTAATAAAAAAATGAAGTTAAACTTATAATACTTATCAATTTTGCAAAGAAACATAAGATATCTCAAATATTTATATTAAACTCAATAAAATTATAATCGTAATTCAACGAATCTATTAGTTGAAACTAAAAACGCAACGCAATGCAATCTTTGAATCATTTTTTGAGTTTTTACAATGCGTGTTGGAATGTCGAAGAATGTCAAAAAATGTAGAATACAACACATCAAGATCTTTGAAGTATCGGTGCTTCATAACTCATACTCGTAGCTACTTGCATGACTGGGTATTTAAATGGGCTTGCTGTTCCTTTTGGTCATTTGGGCAAGTCCTTGGTTATTCCAAAAGCTTGAGACACGAGGCTTTTCAATATATATTTTTATATTATTGCAGATAAAATTACTTTATATATATATATATAAATATATAAAATTTATGTGAATTCATGTAAAGAAAAAAAAAATATAGATAAAATTATTTCGAGACATTAAACTCATACTCTAATTATAGTTAATATTTTACTTTTGGTGTCAGCTTTTGTTTGAATTCATGTCAGATTTCAGTTTCTAATACCTGCTCTTTAGCATAAATACTATTAATATTCAATCTACCGACATAACTTGTTGCACAGTGTGACTGCACTCTAATTTGTATCAATTTGGAGCTATGTTTAGGTTAGGGTGCCAGTTTGTGTGACATGTGGTTTTGATCCCATCTTCCCTTTACCATTCATATCTTTTTTATGATTAAACAGTAACTTTTTTTTCAGCTCTTTTTTGTTCCCCTCTTTTGTTGGAAATCGTACTAAATACTTTGGAGACCATCTTGATTGTAAACCACCAATTAATATTCGTGGAGTTCAACTTAATTTCTCCCTCTTTCTTCTTGTTTTCTTTTTTGATTTATTTGCTTGTAGTATGTTGTTCCTTTTCTATGTTTTCTTTACCTTTATTTCCTCTTATCATAACATTGAAATAGGTCAATGGTGAATGACCTTTAAAAAACTAGGAAAATAGAAAATGAAAAAAGAAGATAAAACAAACTTTGGAACTTTCCTCACACCGCTATCATTGTTATAACAATAGAGCTACTTATCAATGTGCCAATACAGCTTTGCACTCTACAATAAAACACATTGCCATAGACTATCATTTTGTTCGTTAACGGTTTTACTTCATGTCCCTTTGAATCTTTGCTGAAATGGGATGTAACTCCAATGTTTGTAGAGAGAATATACCAGAATTCTTTAAAGTGGTGTTTGGTTGGGAGTTTTTTAGGGGATATCTATCTTTCTCAAGTATGGCTTTTAGAAACACCATGTTTGTTTCAACGTTTTTCACAAAAATCCATCTATCCAATTTGTCTGGATTTATGAGAAATATAGATATCCGCACTGTTTAGAAACCCAATTTGAAGGTGGGATTTTTCGGAAAACCGGTTATCTGGCTTTTAATGCACTGTTGATTTTATAAAGTTACCTAATTTTCTCAGTAAAGTTTTTCCCCACCAAACATGTTATAGAAGACAGTGGGTGATATTATATCACTAATAGATTT